CCGAACTGTCAGGTCGCCGTTGCAGTGCCTCTGCTGCTCCCACGCTGCAAGCCGCGCATGAGCGCATTGTTCGCTCCGGCGTCCAGTCGTCTTCCTCGCCTGACGTTTTCAACTCTGGAAATTCGCATTTGCCCACCTCACGCGCCTCGTCGAGTTCCCCCGGCGAGCAGCAGGTGGAGCGGCAGCAGCAGCAACAGCGGGGGCAATCGCCCGAAAAGCGGCGAAACAACGCTACTGCACCTGCAGCGTCAGCGTCAGCGACGGCAAACCCACCCGCCGCCGCCGATGTGACTGCAGCTTGCATTGGACCTCGCGTCACCGCCGCGGCACCTCCTCATCTGCATTCCGCCGCCGTACAGGCACGGCTCGATGCCCCGTCCTCTGCTGCTTCCCCAGCCCATGTCCAGCCGGGAAATGCCTCCGCATCGCTTTTGCTGCCGCTTGCTCCTGCTGCCCACTCGCTGCCCGCTAGTTCAGGCTCGACTGGCCCGCAGTTGTCCGCTTCCGCTTCCGCTTCAGCTCAGCCGCGATCTCGATCGGCCTCTCCCTCCACGGCCAAGACCACGGCCCTTTGCTTGGCTGACCCCTCTCCTGTAGTCGCACCGTCCTTCCAGCTGCGACGATCCACAGCCTCTGCTGAACCCTCCTCACGCGCTCCGTCCATTGCTGACCCGACAACGGCATCCACAGCTTCCTGCTTCTCGGCCCTAAGTGCCCGAAGCGCTGTCACTGTGTCTGACTTGCCGGCCGTCGCTGCACCTCCCTCCATCCTTCGTCCTTCTCCCCCTCATCCTCCCTCTCCGCACGTCGACGATTCTCGTCACCACCAACCCGGAGCTGAGCTGCCGACCGCACTACGCACTGCTTCGTCTTCTCCTCTCGAGTCTCCTTCGGCCGCTCTCGACTCTTCCTCTTCGTCGTCGACCAACCTGACCACAGCTCAAACCACCGCTGTCAACACGAGTACGGCGAGCACGGCTGCCACGACACCTTCGCAAAGCACGCTCAAGCTCACCTCCGCATCTGGACTCCCAATTGGTCAGACCAAATCCATCCTCCCCTCCGTGTCCTTTATCGAGCCCCGCAGTCACCACCACGAGCATGTGCCTCTGCACCTCGATGGCCATCTAGGCACCAGTGATCCCGTGCACTCAGCCGCTCCTGTCGCCGCGCACAGCGATCCTGAACCTGCCCATACGGTCAAGATTCCTTCGAGCGGACCAACGTTTGCCAGTCCATCTCGAGCCTCTTTTGACGATCGCCGTACGCTTCCTCTGACGCCGCCCGACTCCATCGGCCAGTGCCTCTCTCCTCGCACTTCCGTCAGCGGTGGACTGCCCGAGCACAACGTCTTGGATGGCGAACAGAGGTCAGATCCTATCGACGTCCGCACTCCTCACTCCGATCTCCCATCTCCTGCACCATCAGCGCACGGCTCCAGCTCCGGCCAACACAGTCGTCGAGCTAGTGCATTCTCGCCAAGCGCTTCTCCTCTCGACACTGCCAACCAAAGCCAACCCTCCTCCACATCGCCTTTGGCTTCCACGAACGTAGCGTCCACCGCTTCCGAGGCTTCCTCCCCACCATCGACAGGCTCAAAACGAGTCTCGTTCGACTTTCGGCGATTGCCTTTCCTGGGCGGTGCAACAGCAGCAAACAAGATGCCTTCCGACGTCTCCAAGGCTTCCAACTTGGGGGTCGCGATGCCACAAGAGCCGCTGTCTCCTGACTCGGCAGGGCTGCGTTCAGCTTCGTCCTCGTCGACAACCACATCCAAATTTTTCTCCCGCATCAGCCTGCCGGGCAGTAGTCGACGAGGTAGCGCCACTGATTCGCCGCTCGCGACACCGGAGCCCAAGTCGCGCTCCCGCTTTGCCAGCTTCGGACGATTCAGCCGCGGAAGCGATGCTCGAACCTCGCCGAACGGCAGCCGCAACCTTCGAAACTCCATGCAACCCTGGGCCTCGGCCTCCACTGACGTTCTTGGGTCCGGCTCGGCGTTTGCACAGGGTCGCAACAGCATGGCACTGGCCCGAGACGAGGCGGCCAGGCCGAGGAAGAGCCTCCATCTGCCTCGCACCAACCTCATCGACCTTGAAAGCGAAGACACCCTGGATGCCACCGCCACAGACAGAACTGGTCTGCCAGCCCTCGACACTCGCACCATCCCGCCAATAGCTCCGCCAGCTGCCAAAGCCGACAAGCCGGCGTCGCCCTCGCTCGTCAATGCGAAAAGGCCGAGCTTCAACTTTTTGCGTCGTCCTAGCGCCGCTAGCATCAACTCGAACGCAGAGGCGGCGAGTGGCGAGCGACGAGGATCTCGAGGGTCTACCAATGCATTTGCACGCACGTTCATGAACCGTACGTTGAGTCGCAACAGCAAGAGCTCCGACACCCCATCCGACTCTGCTCGAGCTACTCTGTCGTCCACGGGCGACTCGGCTACTCCGATCTTCCGCAACGGCATCTTTGATTCTCAGGCGCCCGTCTCGACATCCAACGTGGCGTATCCTGGCATGTCACCGACTGTCAACTGGAACACTCCAGTCGACGTACCGCCAGCTGCGCGTGCTGACGTCGCTCCGAATGAGATTGATCCAACCGTAGCAATCCCTCCCTACCCCGGATCAGCAGCCAGCATGGGCACTGTTCAGCCTCGGGGAGCGGTGGCCGAGCTGTCCTCGAGCGTGCTCGCCGAGCGCCGACCCTCGCAAGGCATCGACCAAGAGCAGGATGCCGTAGAGGCCACTGACACGGTCCCCGCTTCGATGGAACGAGCGGCGGTGCCACCCACGAGCGCTTCGCAGAGCACCGATTCGAACCCATCTCGTCAGCGACAGTCTCGTTCGAGCAACGCTTTGTCGCACCTGCCGCGACTCAATTCGATGCGAGCGATTGGCAAGCCTGGTTCTGCGGGCAGTCAGCAAGCGTCGGCCGGCGTCGTACGGACCACGCGAGAGGGTTCCGAGAGCACCAACGATGGCACTACACCCGGCGAGACGAGCGAAGAGGAGCAGGAGCTCAGCGAGGACGATGAAGAAGCTGACACCACGGGCCAGACGTCCGACTACCAAGATCTCGACACCGAGACGGACGACGAGACCGATGAAGACAACAACCCGTCGCCGGTGGTTAGCCGTCGCGTCTCAGCTGCCCCTATGACTGCCACAAGCAGCTCGGGAGGGCTCAATCGCAATCGTCCAACCGAGTCTCTCATCCTACCTCCAGCACCTTCGTTCGTACCCAACTCCACGATCGCTGCGCCAGCGCAAGGAGCTAGTGCAGCTGCATCGACGGCTGGCACGAGCGCATCATCGGACGCCACCTTCACGCAGCACGTCGGCCGCGATGCCTGGACGAGCTTCAACATGAATGGCTTTACGCCTTTCGAGACACCGACTCCCAGCCTTGGCGGTGGAGCAAACAACTTTGCTGCCCGGACGCCTCGAGCGCGGCAGGAGCTGTCCGAGTCTTCCTACTTTGCCGCTCGGCCGGGGACGAGCAACAGCGGCCGAGCAACGACGGCTGGTACGATGAGCGGAGAAGTTCCGCCGCCGTCTCCGTCCATTATCAGCCGGTCGCGTGCGCCTTCGTCAGCGAGCATGCGGACGCTCAGGACGCCTGGAAACACGTCGACGAGCTCGGGCCCTGTGCCCAATCGCTCGATGCCCACTCCAGGAGGCAACTTACCCTCGCTGGCTCTGCATAGGCAGATCTCAGCGGCGTCGACGGCAACGCGGACGGGCATCGAGCGAAGCAAATCGCCGGCGCTCGGGGCGGGAAGCAGTCGACCGAGCACCTCGGGTACTCTGACTCCCAACCAGGTGACGGCTGGCGACCGAAGCGCGAGCCGCGAGCCGAGCATCGACCGCCCAGGCTCGGAGCGACCGACATCTCGTAACGAGATCTCTGCCACTGCGAAGACGAGTGGCCGAGCCCCGATGGCTCTCCGAGGCGTCTCGCCCTCTGGCGCGCGACCGACGTTCTATCAGCAAAAGTCGCAATCTCTTGTGGATCTGATGGGCCCCGCCTCGCGTCGGCTCGAGATCGACACGCATGCTGCTGCTGCTCCACCGACGATCTTGGAACCGACGGCGACGGAAGCGTTGCGCACGCCCACGACGCCACGCCCGCCTTCGGAGGCGCCAGCATACAGCAAACGGGACCTGCTGAAGCCGATCAACACGAAGCTGACGGCGCCAGCGTCGATCGCATCACCTGGTGCCATGAGTCTGGGACGACGAAGGTCGATGTTTGAGATGCGGGCGGAGCCGCCGCCGTACTCGATCATTCACAACCGGCCCGAAGGACCACAGGTGATTCTGCCGCGCGAAGAGGAGGGACGAGAGAGGCTGCCGACCTACTGCTGTGGCATCCACATCGAGGGATACCTGCCTCGCAAGATGGAGTTCTCGGCACCGGGCGTGCAGGCCAAGGACCGCAGCTGGCGGCGCCAGTACTTTGTGCTGCACGGCACGAGTCTACGCGTGTACAAGAACGACCTGAGCGTCGAGCGACACGCTGCGACTGGCACGTGGGGCGAGATGAAGGGCGTGCACGTGCATTTGGAGCCGATGAACGAGGACGGCTCCAACCACTCGGGGTCCGGCATGGGGCTGGGTGCGGCGGCGCGCGAGGCGATCTCGCACACGCCGCTGGGAAGCCATCGGAACGAGTCTGGCAAGGGCAAGGAGGCAAGCACCCAATTTGACAGCAAGAACGGCCTGGTTCGCAACTATACCCTGCAAAGCGCCGAGAGCGGGCTGGCGGCGGACTACCTCAAGCGTCGACACGTGGTACGCGTGCGCGCCGAGGGCGAGCAATTTTTGCTGCAGACGCGAAGCGACCGTCATGTGGTGGACTGGATCGAGGCGCTGCAGGCGGCAACGAACGTGTCGATGGATCTGGAGTCGCGAGCGATGCCCAAGTTCATCACGCTGCCGCGACGACGACGCCGCCGCCGCCGCAATGCGGACGGCACGACGCTGAGCCCCGAGGAGCAGGAGAGGCGCGATCTTGCCGAGGCGCAACGACGCTCGATGGCGGAAGCAGGCGGGCCAGCGGCGAGCACGAGCGAGGCGACCCCGTGCACGAGCATGTCGCAGACGGCACGTCAAAGCATGAGCCTCGAGAACGAACTCAATCCGAGCGCGGCATTCGAAGAGATGCTGCGCGAAGACCAGGAAGAGGGCGGCCGGCGCACCGCAGCCGTCATGTAGGCTCGTTGCACGAAGATCAGATGAGTTGCGACGGAAAGTTGAATTATATTCATGTGCAATCCTATGTATCGTTCGATGTGATGGCTGTGCGTCTCTTCGCCGTGTGAGTATGGTCAGCGACCATCGCATACATCGGATGGGGACGAGTTGAAGGTGATTCGGGCAGCGAGATTGAGGATCCATGGAGGTCAGCTCGCGGTGATGTGGAGGGCTGGATCTGTTTCGGGAAGGGAAGGCTCGGCGGAAGGTTTGAGCCGGCCGCTCGCGGGGTTTCTGGGTGCGCGACTGGGCGACCATGCGGTCGGCGAGAGTGCGAGGCTGACGATGAGGGATTGGGGCGTGGGAATTGTCGGCCGCGGAGGCGAAGGCCGGAGAAAGAGAAAAAGACGCAGGATTTCAACTGCAAGCAGGTTGGTGCTGACTCTTTTGAGGGTGCTTCGGAATTGACCTCATGCACGCGTGCCGCTTGACACTGCTGACGGCACAACTTGCACCCACAGCCCCACACAAGGCCCTCCGCTTCCGGCCGACGTTTCAGTGAAGCTCTGAAGCGCTGCTCCCGATCCTTTACGGGAGGGCCAGGTCATGAACCAAGAAAAAAGAGGATCGGATAGAGACAAAGTTTGCGTGCCGGGCTGCCGGTAAGAGTGCATCGTGTTCGGGTGGAGCATATTGGGGCGCTGGCGCTGAAACTCCGCGGATGTTGGCATCGCTCTGACGCGACTACCCGTAGCATAAAGCACGCCGCGTCACGTAGCGTCCAAACGCGGCCAGCCCCTCCATCGCTAGCTGGCCGCACATACGCTTGGCAAGTGCGGGGCAGTATAATAAGAATGATGCGAACGCAATGAAGAGCTGCCTCTGCGCTCGAATTGAGCCGGAAACACCGAAGCTTGCAAGCAGTCTAGAAGAAAAGGAGCTGGTGGAAGGGCATTCCGATGTGCATGCAAGTCGAGAGTAAGACCATGCAGGTCAGCAGCCGCGTGCATGCGAGCGAGGCCGCCACTTTTGCAACGCACCGAAATCCAACGCTCGGCTTGAGGCCGCCTCACCCTCGCTGCCGATTAGGCTCGTCCGCTCCACTAAGTCAGCATTTCACACACACCAACCGCACACGCACCAACGCCCCGCTCCACTTTTTTGGGCGTCCGCCCGCGGCTGCACGCTTCAGTCACAACACTCAGGGCGCCTCTCCAAGCCTCATTCTTTTGTGAGCTCTGTCTTCTGCTGCTAAGTTAATGTCCGGGATCGACACTCTGCCGCCGCTGCCGCATCGCATCGCATCGCATCACAGCGCAGTGCCCTGCCAGACCCAGCCCACCAAGCCCGCCCATGCACATGTCTCCTTAGCGTCTTGGCACACACCCGCATCCCAAGCCTCTCCTTCTTCCACCATTCCGCCCTTGCTGCGTGTCCAGCCCGTCTCGCCCGCCGGCCGCATCCTGCATCCTCGTCCTTCCTCCCGCCCCCATCGCTATCGTCGCGTCTTCACTCGACCCTTCCACTTACTCGCGACACGCTCTTCCACACGCTCGTCCGCGGGGCTTGCTCTGAAAGCAGCTTCTTTCTCCCATCTGTTGCATTGACCTGCTGAGCAGCAGCCGCATCGACGGCCCTTCTTCTACGCCACGGTCAGCACCGCTCCGGAATCTCTCTACCTTCCTTCCCTCCCAAATCCATTTCATCACCAACATGAATGCCATCGGTTGACCTGCTGCTTTCATCCACCTCATCGCCCATCACGCATCTGCCCTCAACGGCTTCGCTGCAGCAGCACCTCCGACCGACCGCACGGCCTAGCGGCTTCGCTGCGTAGCGGCATCTCCAATTCACCATGTCGCTCCTCTCGCCTTTCGGATTCGGACAAAAGCACTCGTACTTCCATGTTCAGCTCACCATCCACGAGCTCACCAACGTGCCTTTAGTACACGGCCTCTTTGCCTGCAAGTGGAAGGTCAAGGGCGCCCACTCGCTCGCCAGCTTACAGCACTCGGCTGCCGCAGCCGTGCACCAGCAGACCACTCGCGTCGTCTCCGGCGTCACTCGCAAACATCATGGCCCCACAAGCAAGGAACCCTCCGGCTCGTCCTCATCCGCACACCCTACTAGCGACATACAAGCCATCGACCACGACTCGGGCGCTTCCGCCAGCCTCTCTCTCGGCCCTCCACACGAGCACAAGAAACGAATCGCCAGCGGCTCCAGCGATGCTGCATCCATTCGGAGCGCATCCAGTCGCAGGTCCCATCACCACGCCATTCACAAGCCCGCCTTCCTTTCCAACCTGCTCCATCACAAGGACAAGGACACAGACAAGCCGTCCGACCCACAGTCTTCGCCCCCTTCGCCAGACCCCGCGCCCGAAGACGGTGGCGCGTCGGTCACTCCTGCTTCACCGGATGACCCTCGATCAACGCCATCCAGCCCCACAGTCTCGCGACGCGACAGCACCACAAGCCGCAAAACATCCGCGTCCAATGCAAAGTCGACCAAAGACGCCGCACGTCACAAGTCGTTCGAGTCGCATGACCACCGCGTAGACCCCCTCCTCTTCTTCAACCAGGAGCCCAAGGGAGAGACCGATTTTGTCAAGGTGCACGAACATCGCGTCGATTGGGGACGAGATGTCCAGGTCGGTCTCCGCGTCGGTATCGGCAAGCCCAGGGCTTCCGGCCAAAGTGACTCCTCGCCCACTCACAGTCACCACGATAGTCCGGCTGTGTCCGCCAAGTCGAGCGCCAAGGATCTACGCAGTCGTAATCTACGTGACCAACACCTCGAAGACTTATCCACAGCCTGGGGTCGCCTCGTCAACTCGGAGCTCAAGCTCACCATCAAACAGGAGATGCCCGAACACACAAAGTCCACCACTCATCCCTCAGTCCTCGGCCACGTCCTCCTTGACCTATCGGAATTTGCTCCAGAGCCACCACAACTTGGCTCCAGCGGGCGGCATCCCCATCACCACCACCACCACCACCATCATCATCACCACCACCACCATGGTCAACATGGACATCACCACCATCACCATCATCACCATGGTGAACATTCGNCACCACCACCACCACCACCATCATCATCACCACCACCACCATGGTCAACATGGACATCACCACCATCACCATCATCACCATGGTGAACATTCGTATCGCGACCGCACCTGCCGTTCTGAAACTAGGAAGTTTCTCCTCAACGGAAGCAAAACCAACGCCACTGTCAAGCTCACCATCACCATGACGTATCTCGGCGGCGCCCGGGAGTACTACGTACCGCCCATCTCCAACGGCCTCATGGTCAATGGCCTTGGCTCCGTCGTCGCCCCGTCTCTGCTCGAGATGCATCACGACTCGCCAAACGCTCGAGCTGGCAGCGAGCGTGCTTCGTCCAACGGCGGCAGCTCAGAGAGCAGCAGCCTCCGCAACGAGCCAATACGCGCAAGCGCATCCATCCGCAATCAGTCGCTTGTCGGCACGGGTCTTCCGAGTGCCAGCAGTCTCTCGCTGTCCCACATGAACTCGTCCTTCCACTCCCAGCACAACCTCTACGGCCCACCTCTCAAGTCGATCTACGCCAAGAAGACGTGGTCCAACCGTATTCCCACCGAGAACCTCGCCTCGGAAGCCTCTGGATCCGAATCGCACGCAAAGAAAAAGTCGAGTCGGGCACCAGAAACTGCCTTTTACCTGGGCCAGACTCAGGCCGATCGCGCGCCGGACGACGTAGTCAATGCCATCTTCAAGGGCATCCCCGTTGGCGGCAGCCACAATGGGCAGCTCTCCGAAGGTGGACCCTCGCTGCGACCTCTGTCGGCTCGCACTGTCAAGAGCTCGCGTCCCGCTAGTGCCACAGAAGCTGCGGATCGAACGCCACTGCAAAAGCCCGGTAAGACGCCCAACAAGGTGCGTCCTCGTGTTCGCACCATGAGTTCGGCTTCCAGCCTTTCGAAAAGGTCAGAACGCTCGTTCTCTTTCGGACTCTCGCGCTCCAAGGACAAGGACAAGGAGAAAGACGCTGCCAAACAACGTGGGAAGCAACTGGAAAACGACAAGGCAAAAGGCAAGAAGGGCAGTGTCGAACGCTCCAAGGCCACGTCGAGTGCTGAAGCTGATAGTCCGACGGCTGACAAGGGCCAAGGCTTCCACCTGAGTGTTCCAGGCCAAGATCCCGGCAAGTGGTCCTCTGGTCGTCTCGTCGAGTCGCCCTCGGCTTCGACCGAGGCGCTCCGTCCGTCCGCAAGTGCGACGCGCGTGTCGGCAAAACGCCTCTCGTCGGTGCGATGGAACATCGATGGCGATGACGCTGCCTCCGATGAATTGAGGCGCTCGCAAGACACGACACCCGTGGCCGAGACATTCGATCAGTACGAGCGCGACCGAGCCGCCATGCCTCCACCGCCCTCTGTCGTGGTCAATCATGCCTACATCCCCATCCGAGCGGGGGGCATCACTGCCGCCTCTTCCTCCGCTATCAACTTGGTCGACTCGTCAGCCGAGGTGCCTCGAGAGCAGAATGACTCCACAGCCGGCAGCAACGCCGAGTTCCTCTCACCGCAGCCGAACTCCCGCTCGACGCCGTCTGCAGCGGCAAGAGATTCCGAATCTGCCAGCATTCGCTCGTTTGCGTCTTCGACGAGTGCACTTGATGACGACAAAAAATTGAAAACAAGCTCGCACGACCTCAAGGGTCTCTACCAAGCTGGCCTTGCGATTCCTCAAAGCCTGTCCACCAGTACTGCTGTGGGCCTGGATCGTATCAAGCGCACGAGTCGGGCAATCGGCCAATTCGCCAAAGACGCTGTCAGCTCCGGTCGCCCCGGCTCACGACCCTCATCGAGCTCAGGTGCCGCATTGCCGACCGACAGCCAGGGCGTAGCGGGTCGCGAGCGCAGATCCAAGGGCAACCGAGGCATCGAGCCTTCCGAAGCTGCGTCCAAAGGATGGCATGGCGCCGGATGGCTGCGGCCCATCTCGACATCTCCAGCACCGCTGCCTCCAGGCTCGCCAGACCTCTCGTCTGCGGAGAGCGATGGTGAGTTCGAGGACGCGGACGTGGATGGGTCGAGTCCCGCCTATCATCACGGTTCGTTGATCTCGCACAGCTCGGAAGGGAGGAGATCGTCGGCAACCGACCAGACGGCGAGCTCGGATGCGCCCGCAACCCCCCGCGCTGCGGCCGTCGAGACGTTCCGCCCGGCACACAAGCGAGACAAGTCGTTCGTGTCCATCTATCACGACGTCGATGACGAGGACTGGCCAGAAGACTCGGCCAAGCTAATGGATCAGACCATCACGCCAAGCGTGCTTCCGATGCAGGCGCACCCGGTCTGAGCTCGCCCCTGCCTCTACACAGCTTACTTTATACAGCATCTATCTATAGTTCTCCCCTGTGAATACCTGCACAGGCTCTGTCACCTTTCCTCTCTGTACTATTAAACAGCAGCTATGCTTGTCACGGACATTCCCTGACTGTGGTGTGGACCAGACAGAGGTCGACATTGAGAGTGGACTCACCGCTAAAAGTTGGTGTTTTGTTAGGGTGGACTAGCATGTACATTAGTTTCCGGAGAAAAATCGAGTGGAGGTCTGACCGTGGCTCAACGTCGCGCCAGAGTGTGATCGACCGACCGCGCGTCTCGGAGAGTTGCAGGGCCAGAGCACGGCTCATGCTCGCCAGCGTCGAGTGGAATTCGCTCATTCCACGTCCAGCATCTTCTGCTTCACACCAATCCAGACCTCGAAACACCACCCGAGCGTCATCTCTACATCTCACCTCGAAGGACTTTTCGACTTTCTTGTTCTGTACACCTTACCCCGTGTGCTTCGAATCGACATGCCGGAGCCCACCAAGACATCCAAAGAGGATGCGCCCGTGGCCAAGCCGACCGAGACTCCGGTCGCCAAGCCTCCCAGCGAGCGGGAGCAGCTGCTGGCTCTGCTTCGTCACAACTTTCTGCTGATCGAGCGTAGTGTCTCGCACATCGAGCAGCGTTTCACCGCACGTGTGCTGCGCACGCTTCCGTACGTGCGCCGAAAGATCAACGCGTATCCCGAAGTGCTTGCATTCGCCGTCAATGAGGGCATCCTGCCCCACTCGGACGATGCCGTCCAGAAGCATCTTCTCACTTTCCTGCCTCAGCCTTACAAGCCGGAGACACCCGCTGCGGCCAGTGCGCCCGCGGCCTCGGATGCCATGGACGTCGATACGCCCAACACCAAGGCCGAGGACAAGGCCGAGAACAAGGATGCCAAGGACGCCAAATCCGCCAGCGCTCCTGTTGCACTGTCCAAGCCCACGCCGCGACAGCCCGAGGCTCAGCCTGAGCTGGTGGCGTACCTGCGCCTGCTGACGCTCGTACACCTGATCGACAGCAAGCAGCTCGATGCAGCATCGAACGAGGCGGTTGCTTCGATCTCGGCCATCACCGCTCAGAACCGCAGGACGCTCGACCATCTTGCGGCCAAGACGATCTTCTACCTGGGCCGGGCGGAGGAGCTCAAGGCGGAGGCGGCCAAGGCCAAGGGCGCGCACACCGAAGGCGGGCTGACGGCGATCCGCAGCCAGCTGCTGGGTCTGCAGCGTACGGCGTCGCTGCGCCACGACACGGAGACCGAGGCGACGATCATCAACTTGCTGCTGCGATCGTACATTGTGGAGGCGAATCTGTACGAGCAGGCGGACAAGCTGGTGGCGCGTGCGCCGTTCCCGCGCTCGAGCGCGAGCAACCCGCAGGTGGCGAGGTACGATTACTACGTGGGGCGCATCCGGGCGGTGCAGCTCGACTACACGCAGGCGCACGTGCATCTGCAGCAGGCGATCCGTCGTGCGCCCCAGGCGTCGCTTCCTCAAGACTCGACTGCGGCTGGCGAAGGGGCTGCCGCAGCGGGTGCGGTCAAGAGTGCGGTGGAGAAGAAGGAGAAGAAGGAAGAGGTGAAGCCGGTGGGACAGTCTCAGACGGCGGCTGGATTTTTGCAGACGGCGCACAAGTTTTTGGTGGTGGTCGAGTTGTTGATGGGCGAGATTCCGGAGCGATCGATCTTCCGCACGCCCGTGCTGCGCAAGGCGCTTGCGCCGTACCTGGAGATTGTGCAGGCGGTGCGCGTGGGCGATCTGCAGCGATTCCAGGCTACGCTTCAGCGATACACGTCGCTGTTTGCGAGCGACAAGACGCTGAGTCTGATTGTGCGACTGCGTCACAATGTGATCAAGACGGGTATCCGTATGATCTCGCTGTCGTACTCGCGCATCAGTCTGGCGGACATTACGCACAAGCTGCACCTCGAGAGCGAGGAGGATGCAGAGTACATTGTGGCCAAGGCGATTCGTGACAACGTGGTGGATTCGAGGGATACTCGTGTGGACCACGAAAAGGCCGAAATGCTCAACAGGGAAACCAAGGATCTGTACGAGACCGACGAACCCATGCAGCAGTTCCAGCAGCGCATCCAGTTCTGCCTCCAGCTGCACAACGAAAGCGTCAAGGCTATGCGCTACCCGCTCAATGGACACAAGGCCGAACTTGCCAGCGTCACAGAGGCGCACGAGCGCGAACGTGAACTCGCCGCCGAAATCGCAGATGGCGACATGGACGACTCGGACGACGACTGGGCTTAAACCCCTTCCCCACTCGCATTTGCAACCCCCACCGGCTCCACTGATCCAAATAAAACCTTATGATTCCTTACGATGCATGTGCGAACTACGACTGGTGAGCCGTCGACGGATCGGGTGGTGCATCTGGTGGTGCATCTGTTGGTGCTTGGGTCGACTGCTCGTTTTGTTCCTGCTGCTGACGCAATTTGGCCGCTCTGCGCACCTGACGTTCTGCGGCGCGGATGAGCTGTTCGGGCTCGCTGATGGGTTTTCTCTTGCCTCTGCCCTCGGCCGCCTCGGCTGGTGCAGGCGTCCCCTGCAGCCGCGCAAGCATGCTCTGTTCCTCCTCGGCCACTGTTTCGACTACAAGCTTGTCGCTCTGCACCAGGTTGCGCAGCGCAGCGTAGTGGGTGTTGTCATTCGCGGTCTCGCGCTGCTCGGGGTCGTAGATCGGTCGGAATATCAGACGTGTTCGCGTCGTCGAGGATCTTGTTGTTGCCCGCTGCTCTCGCCCTACTGGTGGAAGGGGCTCGAGTCTGTGCTGCTCGCTCGTGCGCGTGGGGTCGAACTGGTCCTGCAGCACGATCTCGGTGCCGAACATGTCCATGCGTCGACCGCGAAGGACGGTGTCGTCGATCTTGAGCAGCGGATGAGAGGTGTCCAGACCGGTAATAGCGAGCATCTTGCCAGCGCCTAAGTGCGGGCCGGTGGTGCTGCGCCGGGACGTGGTGGAGGAGGAAGTGGCGCGTTTGGTGCGTTTGTCAATGTCTCCGGCGCGGGTTCCGCGGACAGCACGCGACGTGGTGGGTGCGTTGTCGGATTCGACGTCCAGACCAGCGCTATAGCCTAGAAGTGCGCGGCGAGCGATCCGCTCCTCGCCCAGATCGAGGACCACAAGCTCTTCGGTGTCTGAATACGACCAATCGGATCCGCCATCATCGGAAACAGCGCCAGAAGCCGACGACGAGGGATCAAACGGAGTATGTGGGTGCGGACGGTCGGAGAAGGTATCGTCCGGTGCACGGTGCCATGACGAGTCGATCAGAGGCTGCTGCGACATTGTGCGCCTGAGCCGCGGACCATGGAGGTGCAGAGACGATGGCTTCAAGTGTTGGGGACGAGTTCAGGGTCCTTCGAAGCGTTGGATCGACTTTTCTTCGGCGGCGGCGTGTTGGAGGCGCATGTGGAGGCTTGACCGCGCTGAGCTGCACGCCTGCTGCTGAGCGGCTCGGGCTGGTCAGTTGCATGCGCCGCCCAAAAAAAAACACGGCTGCGTGTGCACTCAGCAGGCCGGCCCGCTTTCAACCAAAAAAGGGTTGGGTCCGCGCATGGAGCCGGCAGCGGCTGCAGGCGGCAAGGCCTAGCAGCCTGAACGTGCCACCGTGTGTTGTGCTGCCGGCTCACCCGCCTCACACCTAGCCCGGAACAGCCGCCCAACACTCGCCCTCTCTCTACATCACATCAAATCACCTAGGACCTCTCCCACCATCACACCCTGGCCTACGATCGTCGGATCAGCCGCTATACCACTCGTCCTTCGGCCATCCCGACGACACCCAATCTCTCGAAGAGCATGTTGGGATAAGCGCCGTCGTGCTGCACGTTACCACCGGACCTGCAGTGGACCCGCACAGGTAGCAGCCATGCCTTTCTCTTGGACAACAGATCGTGCTGCGGCGCCTCCAAATGCGTCCGCAGCACCGTCGGGCCGCATTTCGGCATCGCCGCAGACACGTCCGTCTGGACATCGCAGGGGTCTGCCGCACTCGTCGTCCATCTCGTCGCGCCACAGCATCGTCAGCACCGAAGCACGCACCGCTGCTGCCCTCGCCGCTCCCCATTCCCTCTCGGTACCCAAATCGGCCTCCTCCGCCGCACTCACCAGCACAGACGAGAGCGACGACTTCCGCCGCTTCCTCGACGAGGCACATGCCACCGACCAGGCCGCTCGCAGCTTGGGCGCACACCCACCGCAGCGTGCAGCAGCCGGAGCAGCAGAGTCACTCAGAAGAGTCACAAGCTCTTCCACGTTAAACAGCATGCATGATCAGCGCGTTGCACAGCCAGCACGCCCGGCGACCAGTGCAGCACCGGTCGGAAGGGTGCGCAAGAACTCGACGCTCTCCACTGCATCTAGAGCGCAGAGGTCCGTGTCCAACTATTCGATGAACTTCCGCAACCCCACAAGCCAGTTCCTTGAACACCTCTCCGCAGAGGCTCAGACGCCCGAGCTTGGAATCGACGACACTCCAGTCGCAGGGCGTGCGGTCGACAACAAGAGCCATCTCACTGCGCTTGGCCACGCCGCACAGCTGCAGACTCGGACTGCCTCGGGGAGCCACTCGACCAAGATCTCCAGTGCAAAGGGCAAGGCTCCGGCACACCAAGTACCCGTCAGATCGCCCACCGTACCGATCGCGACTGCGACTCCGTCGCCATCCGTGCGCATCAAGCCCAGCGTTTCAGGCAACGCGGCAGCTTCAGCTTCAGCTTCTGGCTCGGGTTCGGCCCGATCCCCTCCTTCGAACCAAACGAGTCAATCACCTGGCACGTCGCCGACTGCTCGCCTCTCGCCGCTGTCGCCAAGACGTAGGCCGCAGAGCTACATCCACAAACCTCCATCAGAGCCCTCGGGCGTCGTCTCGCCGCGCAGGCTCGGTGAAAGTCGTCTTGGTCATGGTCTGCCCACTGCATCCCCGATCCAGGCCAAGCGCAGTGCGGACGAGATGGAACGCAGCTCTTCTCTTCAGCCCACCAGCCAGCCGAGCGAGCAGCCACAAGCCGCAATTCCAGCGTCGCCAAGCCAAGCCTCCCGCAGGAAGACCTGGTTTGGTCTCGGCTGGGCCGCGGAGGACCAACCCGCTCCCGTCGAAGCTGACAAGGCGAACCTCGAGGCTGCGGAAGCTGCGGATGCTGCAGGATCTGCGTCTGACCAACCGCCTCCTCCGATGAGCGAGGAAGAGGCGGCCTTCAGACGGTCTCTCGGTTACAACGACGTCTACGACCCAGCTGCGGACAAGCAACCGAGCGCTGGTGGCGACGCGGAACAGAAGCCCTTTCCCGCTGGTCGGGACTCGGACGCCACCATCAGGGCGGCACAGATCCCAGCCAGGGATCGCCGCATCTCCTGGATCCCTTGGCGCAACGTATCTGCTGCGGCCGAGCAAGGCTCACAAGACGCCGCTTCCAGCAGTGCTGATACACCTGCGCACCAAGTGCAACAACCTCAGCCAGATGCAAGCGCATCAAAGACGGAGGCTCCCGTTACATCAGAGGCGTCAGAATCAGTTGGGACTCAGGAGATGCGCAGCTCTGCATCGCGCCAAGACGGTCAAGACACGGTCACATACAAGACCGTCGTCAAACGAGGCTGGATGGGCGCGCGGTACGAAGTGCAAGAGCCGGTGCCAAGTCTGCAGCACGCATTTGATCCACCGCAAGTCAAAGATGACACGGACCTCGCAGCAGCATCGAGCAAACCTATGGAGCAAGACACCGACGCAGCCGCGGCTCAGGACCTTAGCGCGTATCCGCCAGCTAGCACCAACGCCAGCGATAGCAGACAGACGAGCGGCACTTGGCGGTGGAGATTTTGGTCCGGTGCTGACGGGTCCACCTACGGCGATCAGGCTCCAGCCGCTCAGGAGCTGGTGGTGTCGAGCGAACCACCTCCAACTGACCCCGCGGGATCGACGCGCGTGGCGACCGAGCCTGACACGGCCGAGCCGATGGACATCGACCAGAACGGTCCGCCCGACGATGCTCCGCACAATGCTGACTCGGCATCGTGGACCTACTCCTCGTATGTCTCGCGATGGGTGCCCACCTGGGTGTACAATGCGCAGCAGCAGGATTCAGCGACCAAAGATGTTGAGGGCCCGAGCGACCAGACTAGCGAAGCCGTGGCCGATAAGGCGAACACCATCGATGCGGCCGCCCAGACTCGTACCCCGGCGGAGCAGGTCAAAGCAGAAGCTCTCGCTCGAGACGCTTCCGTCGTCGCCCTTACGCCAAGCAAGGTCGTTCTCAACAATTCGACCAAGAGTGGCTGGATCAATTTCTTCGGCTCACGCAGCGCAAATCTGCCCAGAGAAGCGCCCGAAGCTATCGGCAACAACGATGGCGTGGAGGTGATGGACATTAGCGACATGGATGCACCCGTCCAGTCCACCTCCGCTCGCGACGTCGCTCTGCGCAACGGACGGCTGACGCCCGATGTGGCTCGGGCACCGAGGGCGAGAACCGTCACCGGTGGCAGCCTGGCTGGCTCCAAGGCATCTTCCTTCGCCAGCGAGTCGGACATGCAGCGCGCAGCCACTCCACTCTCGACGAGTAAAGACAGCGTCCGCAACCTCAGCAAGGCCGCCATCACCAAGGCCGCCAATGTGACCGCCGCCTCTACACTCGGGCTCGGGAAAGGAAAGCGCACCGACGCACCAACATCGACTTCTACCGCGTCTGGGACAGGCGAGCCTTCCGCTGGGTCACAAGCCTCCAAGGATGCAGGCAAGGGCCTGGCGCCTAATGGCTCGGGACCCTCCAGGTCGGGTGCCTCGACGCCGACCAAGTCAGTGGCGGATCCTGTGTCTGCACCTCCGCCCAACCTCGTGCTGCCATCCTTCGACGACACGTTCACTAGGGCCCCACGCATGTGGCCTCCCAAGGTCGGTGTGCTCGAACGAACGCTCAGCGCGGTCAACAGCTATCTCTTCAGTAAAGTTCCGGACCTCGAGCGCATGAAGCGTCCCACGCGTTACTCGACCTACGGCGATTCCAGCCTGGGATCCAACTCCGCCACCTTCAAAGGGGCCGTGGCATCTCTAGGAGGCAAGAAACCCGCCCAGCGATTGGCTGGCAAAGCCAAGGCGAGCGGGCGGGGATCGAGCCTGGACAAGGGTGTTGAGACGGCGCTCAAAGAGGTGGCCGAGTCTGCACAGCGGCTGCCGCGAGCCTGGTTCACCGTTGGCATGCACGACCGCGCGCAGACCAGGGGCACGGCGGCTATTGGCAAGATTGTGGTGATCGGAGTGCATGGCTGGTTCACCCAGAGCATCTTCAAGAACATGATCGGCGAGCCCACAGGCACGTCGGCCAAATTCGCCGCGATGCAGACCGAGTCGATCCGACGCCACTTCCTCGAGGCGGGACTGGAATTGAATCCAGAGGCGATCACCGCCATATCGCTGCAAGGCGACGGCAGAGTGGCGGACCGCGTCGACCGGCTATTTGCCGAGCTCATCAGCAGGCCCAAGTGGGTCGAAGACCTCAAGAGTGCAGACGCGCTGTTCCTCTCGGCCCACTCGCAGGGCGCTATTGTGGCTACGCAGCTGCTGGCCAGGCTCATCGAGCAGAGACACGTCAGGGCAGAGCATACGAGGATCTGCCTGCTGGCAATGTGCGGCATCCACCACGGGCCATTCGCGCATCTCAAGTCGAGCATCACCGCGAGCTACATCAACTACTTTGAGACTGCGGCGGCTAAGGAGCTGTTCGAGTTCCAGTCGTCCACCACGGCTGTTGCGCAGCAGTATACGGCGGCGCTTAAAATCGTGCTGGATGCAGGCACAAAGTGCGTATACATCGGGTCGACCGATGACAACGTCGTGCCAGTGTATTCGGCGCTCAACCTGTGCAACAACCATCCGTCGATACTGCGCGCGCTGTACATCGACGGCCAGGCGTTTCCGCGGGTGGACTTCCTGACGAACTTGCTGGTTCTCTGCGTCGCCGTGCGCAATGCCGGGCTCAGCGACCACAACCTACTCACCCTGCTTTCGGCGAGTGTCGCCGGCAGTCTGTACGGCGGCCGCGGGCACTCGCAGGTGTACGAGGAGAAGGCGGTGTACGACTTAGCGACTCGGTACCTGTTCGAAGTCACCCACCCGCTTGCCGAGCCGACATTCGCACCGGGTCCACCTGGTGCGACGTCCTCCAGCCTCAGCACCTCAACCAACCCGGGGAAGCGGCCATCAACGGCGGAATCCGAGACGAGCAAGGCGGCGCTCGTGTCCGAGGCATTCGAGGCACAGCGGTGGAACCCGTACGAGCTGCCGTGGGCGCTGCGTGGACTGTTCGAAGACAAGCATGTCAGGAGTCTGTTCGCAGAGGACATGCTGAACCTGCTCGAGAGCTACGAGCAGTGGCGGCCGGACCCCAAGTCCAAGGCGCTCAAGGATCTGCAGTGGAGGCTGGCGCCCATGCGCAGCATCAAGCCGCCGCCCATCCAGGACGGCGAAGCCGACGCGGGTGCAAGCACAACCAAGGCAGAGGAGGCTGCGGGAGGTGAGACGGGCTCGAGCAAGAACTCGAAGCTGTAGATCGAGTGTCGATACCCAATGATGAATTCCAACGGCATTTTATCTTGTGTCCTGGCCGTTACCGCGGAATGATGGTTGGGAGACTAGGGTTTGGTGGGGCCGTGGGGTGGTGCGTTCAGGGCTACGCGTAAATTGGACGCGTGCGCGTGAGGGCGAGAAAAAGTAAGTTTTCGGTGACAGCCGCGTGGGGTTGGAGCGTGCGAGATGAAAGCACGAGTGAGGGAAGACCAACACCTCGGGGCTGAGCATTCGGCGGTACTTCCTCCCCACCCGCTGTTACCAATCCTACCTTCTTCGACGCGGGGCTTTGTCGTGATGCTGATCTCGCTGATCGGACCGCCTGGCTCGGGCAAGGCGTCGGTGGCGCACTATCTCGCTACACGACATGGCTTCGAGGTGCTGTGCACGGACAACGGCACCTGCGACTCACTAACCGCGCTCGGCTTAACTGCAACTTCGTGTGGGGACGAGAAGGCGATGTTGGACTTTGTCACGGATCGCTGGCACGAGCGCTTTGTCACGCTGGACCTCACCACGGTGTCGGACATGGAGGCGTTCATCAAGCGACCTTTCTTCCTGTGCGTTGAAGTCGGGTCGCCGCTTCTCACGCGGTGGAAACGATACCAGACAAAGCACAAGAGCCTTCCGCTCGAGAAGTTCGTTGCGCTGGATGACGAGATCGCATTCGGCATGTCGACGGCACAGGCATCCACAAGGCAGCCATTGGTTCGGTCTGGGTCTTCTGCGATGGGCGGCAACGGGATTGTCGACAATCTCGCCTCTGTCTCGATCTCGTCCCCTTCTGCGGGACTCGCGGCGTTGCGGCGGTACGTGCACGTCTCGATCATCAACGACTTCCCCGACCGCGACTCTCTCAACTCGCACCTATCGTCTCTCAATCTCCCCTCCGAGGAGCGTCTGCGTCCGTGTTGGGATAGCTACTTTCTCAAGCTGTGCAACCTAGCATCGCTGCGCAGCAACTGCATGAAGCGTCGCGTGGGTGCGGTGCTCGTCTCTTCCAACCGCATCATCTCCACCGGCTACAACGGCACTCCCTCGGGCCTGCTCAACTGCAACCAGGGCGGATGTGCGCGCTGCAACAATACGCTCGAAAAGGGCGCCAGCGGTTGCGGACAGAACCTCGACGAATGCCTGTGTTTGCACGCCGAGGAAAACGCCCTTCTCGAAGCCGGACGCCAAAAGATTTCGACGGGACAGGAGGGGAAAGGTGCGACAATGTATTGCAATACTTGCCCTTGCTTGCGGTGCGCTGTCAAGATCATTCAGTCCGGGATAAGGACCGTGGTGTACCAGCTCGAGTACTCGATGGACGCAAGAACCAAGGCCATCTTTGCCCAGGCTGGCGTCGACATCCGCCAGTTCCACCTCGATACCTGACAATACACACTCTTACAGTCCTGCACTCGGTGGATGCACGTGTGCGGAAAATGTGTGCCATGTAGCAGTGATGCATGCTGTTCTACGCCGAAGTGGATGGTAGGAGGGTGTTGACAATGCGGGTGGTCTCAGCGTCAAGCGAGGCATTGGTGAGGGCAGGGTGAAGGCGTCCAATGAGGTCCGTGGTGGAATGCATGGCGGAACGAACGAGCTCGGACCTGGCTGCTGCATCCGAAGGTCTCGTCGGCTTTGCCGTTGCTGCAAGAACCTTGTCCAGCGCTCCGGCCCGGGACACGAGGTGCAGCGCCAACGCGACCGCAAACACAGAATTCGGCTTGACACCCTTTGCTTCCTCCTCGGACTGGTGCGTGTCCATGAACAGCGTGCGGCGGAACAGCTTCATGTTGCCCACCACGTCCGTTCGCCCAGCGTAATCGACCCACTTTCCACCCTGAGAGGGCTTGGGCGCCTCGCCCACGAGCTGGGTGAGTGCGAATTCGAGCTCGGTCATATCGGTGGCAAGTCGGAGCTTCACCTTGTCCGCCTGCTCGGGCAATGCCAGCAGACCCGCGTGGAGCAGGAAGCAGTGGGCAGCGGTTGCAGCCACCGCCCCTGCGAGCGAGGCGCGCAGCTGAGGCGGATAGAGCGGGAGGAGGTGGTCGCGGAGGAAAGCAAGCGCATCGCAGACGTCCGAGATGTACGCCGAGGCGCCCGAGGTGGCATCGATCGAGACGCCGCGCTGGTGCACTGCACCACGCGATGCCAGCTGCACGTGCATCTTGCCCATGCGCTCCGCAACCGTCTGCTCGGCTGCACGCACCAACGGATCCAGCAGCACGCGCCGCGTTGCACCGATGATCGTGTCGACAGCGACGTGCAGGCGCGTCGCCGCATAGCTCGCGCTTGCAGCATCCTGCTCCGCTGCGACATTGGCAATGCCTGTAGCCAGCGCGTACGAGAAGCGCACGAGCGCAGCGTTCCATGTCTGGGAAGCGCTTGCTTCAACAGCGCGGCCATCGACTAGCCACGCCGACGCATCCTCCGCAACCACCTTGTCGAGACGGGTAGCGTACTGCTCGACCAGCGCTGTGCAGCGGTCAACCACCGCACGCAGCAGAAGCGGATCCGAACGCACGCCATCGACCGCATTGGCCACGAGAGCAACCACGCCGTCAGCCTCGCGACTTGCGTCGAGTGCGGTCTTGCGTGTGGGCGCGACGACCTGCGACAGCACCTCGGCCACCCGCCACGTCGCCTTGTCCACATACCCCTTTTCGAGTGGCGCCAGCCCGCGCAAGAGAATCACCGTCTCGGCACTCTGGTGCGTCTGCGTATACTGCACGTCGGTGTACACGGTGATCTTGGCAAAGAACTCGTGCAGCAGCCTCAACAGCCGCATATACCCACCCATGACCATCCCACCCGGCGTGTTCTCCGCCGCAATCCCGCTCGAGAGCAGCTGAGCCACCCAGGGCGACCTGGCCGCCGCAGCGCCAGTCTGTTGCTCGAGACACTGCGCCAGGGTGCGCCAGAAGGTGTGGCTGGGCTTGTCGCCGAGCACGTTTAGTGCGGCTGCGAGGAAGTTGACGCCCGTCTCGGCGTCCGTCTTGAGCTTGAGCACCTTTTCGAGCAGGTACACCTTGCTGCACACCGCGCCCATCTCGACGACGATGAGCGACTCGAGCCGCTTCCACAGCGCATCGGACCACGCCTGCTGCTGCTGCCGAGCGCTTGCGTCGTCCCTCCGCCGTCCGCCGCGGTAGGTCGAGTAGCTCGGATTCGACGCTTCGAGCGAGGGAATCGCCAGGCCGAGCTGGCGCGCGATGGCATCCAGATCGAGCGCAGCCGCTGTGCGCTCCCTAACCACCTCGGTCAGATCGTCGAGCAGGTCTTTGACCAGCGTGGGCAGCGTGCCGAGGTTGAACGCCGTCTGCAGACTCGATGCGAGCATCACCGGTGATAGATCGCGCAGCCCGCGCACGATCATGTCCTCCATATAGTCGACCACCGTCTTGCGCGCACTCTCGACCACAGGCACCACGTCCTGTACGAGCTTGAGGGCCAACAGACCGTCGCTGCCGTGGGGCCGCTCGGAGTCGAGCATGTCCGATATCTCGTGGATCAGCAGAGCCGCCCGCGACAGATCGCGCCCGTGCACCAGTCCCACCACCGCATCCTCACCATCTGCCTCGGCGGCCTTGCCTGTCGCCGTGCCGTCCTTCTTGGCGAAGAGCGCCTCCATCTGCGTCTCGAGCCTCCTGGCAAGCCCGACAAACTTGACCGCCTTGGCGACAAGCTCGCCCGCGCCGTCGTACACGCGCAGATCAGCCTGCAGCTCCGTGAGCCTTTGGAAAGGGTCGTGCACCTTGCGGCGGAGGTTGGCCACCTCGATGTCGAGCGATTGGACGCCTTGTTTGGTCTGTTCGAGCCCGTGCTGCATGGTTGCGAGGCGCGAGGTGCGCTGGAGCAGTGCGGGTGCATTAGCCGTGACCTGCGTCGAGATGGAGCGGTCCAGCTCTTCGATGGCCAGATTGAGACGAGAGATGGCGAGCGAGAGGTCGACTTCCTCCTGGTCCTGCTCGCGCTTGCGTTGCGCCGCCTGCGCTTTCGAGCTGCCCGCAGCTGCATCGGCGGTGGGCGCAGCTGCAGAAGGCGAGGCGAGCGAAAGGTTTGTCCTTGATGCTTCTGCATTTTGCGCACTTGGTGGGAGACTGCCAGGGCTCGCTGGCCGGAGGAGCCCACTGGGCGAGACGGCGAGTTTGGCCGAAGGTGTTGGAGGTTGTGCGGCAGAGCGCGACACGTCGAGCTGTGCGTCGACGCCGCTGATCAGCTGGCTCACGTATGTCGCAGCATCAAATGAGGGCTGGAGGAATGTGGCGAGATCGCCCGAGGCAAGTGCTGGGTGCGCTGTGGATGCAACATGGTCGGTCGTGGGGGGTGACGAAGGCGGCTGCAGAGACGACGAGGGCTGGCGCGGGAGCCCAGGTGCCGCCTGCATCCCTGCGTAAAGTGCTGTTGCTGGACCTTCGCGTACTGTCAAGCTACAACATGCGGTTGATTCAGGATCCAGATGGTTTGTGGTAGAGAGCCATAGAGTTCGAGATGTGAGAGAAGGTAGAAGAGAGTCGCGACTGCCGCTCAGGCCAACCGAGAAGAAGCACAACATGCACACGTCTCCACGTCCCGGGTCCCGAGCCTCACCTTGCTCCCACGCTCAGTTCAGGAAAAGGCTCCAAAAAAGGGGGCTCAAAATTGGCTTTCAAAATAACAGCCTCCGGCCTGCACAGCCTGACAGCCGCAAGCTCAAAGGCTACGTTCCATCGCACCACGAGCACGGTCATGGCAGCTACGCAGACAGAGACCCCGATATCGAAACACAAATCCTTCGCAGAAGTTACAGAGAATACAATTTGGAATACAAGCGCCGGGAGAAAGGAGGGCAGGAGATGTAAAGCATCACTTGTTGGCAGCGGCGATGATGTCGGCAGCGCGCTCGGCGATCATGTAGCAGACAGCCTGAGGGTGTCCGGGCAACAGACGCGGGAAGGCGCTCGCATCGACGACACGCAGACCGTCAACGCCGAAGACGCGGAAGTTGGAGTCCAGCACACCGGACTGCTTGTCCTTGGCCATGCGGCAGGTCGACGCGGCGTGCCATACCGTCATGAGGTTCTTCCTGATGCTCGCCAGGATCTGGTCATCCGTGGCCACGTCCAGGCCGGGGAACGACTCGGTGCTGCTAGTACGCGTGCTCTTCATGGCGTTGGCATTGAACACCTGGCGCGTGCGCTTGAACGCGGCGATCGCCACCTGCTGATCGACGGGGCTCGAGAGCCAGTTGGGCCTGATCGCTGGAAGGTCCTGTGTGTCGGCGCTCTTGAGCGTAACGGATCCCTCAGACACCGGCGCGACAATGGCTACCAGTAGCGAGGCGAACTGCTGGAGCGTGAGGCCATTGACAATGTTGTTGGCGACGAGGTTGCTAAAGTCGCCGATGAAGCCGGGTCCGCTGAGGTACTCGATCTGCGGCCAGTCGCTAGGCAGGCTCTTGAGGGCACCAGCACGGATGGTGTCGAGGTAGGTGCCGTTCCACTTTTCGAATGCGATAAGGTCGGCAACATTGTTGGTGAAGATGCCCTGGTTGTTCAGGTTAAAGTCGGCGATGGAGGAGGCGAGGAAGATGGGGTCGTTTGCCTCCTTGGTTGGCGTGTCGACGTTGACCGAGTAGGTGGGGCCGAAGAAGACGTGGTCCTGCATATGTTGGCCGACGTTGCTGTTCTCGACGATAATCGGGATGTTCTGGGCTCGAAGCTGATCAGCGGGGCCAACGCCAGAGACCATAAGGAGCTGAGGGGACTGGAACGCTCCTGCGCTGATGATGATCTCCTTTCTTGCCTTGAGCGTCCCCTTGACTCCAAATGGAAGCGTGTAATCAACAGCGACCGCCTTGGGCCTGGCACCGGACGTGTCGAAGGTGACTTTCTTTGCGAGCGCCTGGAAGATGACGTTGAGATTGGAACGCTTGTCGTTCTGCGCCTGCTGGTAGAACGAGCGCGAAGTGGCACGCTTGCCGTTGCTCTTCTCGACCGTAAGCGTGGAATACTGCGCACCCAAAATGTTGCCCGAGCTCATGTCATTTGTAGTCGGGACCCCGACTTCATTGAGGCTGTTGAGCAGCGGGCCCGAGAAGGGCTGTGCGTAGTTCGGGAACCCGACGCTGACCGGGCCGCTGCCCGGGAAGGCGGCAGGGTTGTACTGCGCTGGCGGATTGTCCTTGCGAAATTCGCTGCGCGGACCAAAGGCGGTGAAGGTCTTCTGATAGTAAGGCAGCGTGTTGTCGAAGGACCACTGGCTGTCTCCAGTAAGGTCGACCCAGGTCTGCTGGGCGCCCTTAGGTGGACGGTGGTAGAGCATAAAGTTTCGTGCCGAGCTACCGCCGATGCACTTTCCTCGCGCGTAGCGCACCTTGCGGTTGTCGTAGCCGGGCTCGCCTTCAGTGACGAAACCCCAGTCGATCAGACCGTTGGCAAAGTCAGAGGGGCTGGAGCCCACGCCGAAGACGTCGAAGCCAGGAGTGTCGACCAGCTGCTGGTTGACAGGAGAGCTGCGGTAGTCAATGCCGGCCTCCAGCACGGCAACAGTAACAGCCTTGTTCTCGGAGAGACGCGCGGCGAGCGTCATGCCAGACGTGCCGCCTCCGACGACGATGTAATCGTACGTGTCAGTGGTCGGAGGGGTGGGAAGCAGTCGACGTTGGAGGGGATCATCCTGCACAGGATGGGGCTGTACGCTTCCTAGCGAGACGATGAAGCCGAGGACAGCGGTGAGAGGGAGGAGTAGGCGTGGCATCCTGGCTCAGTCAGATCGAGAAGAGTGCCTCGAGTGCGAGTGAGGGCGAAGAGGAGTGATGCGAGAAGCTTCGCGATATATATGCAACTACGAGGTTTGATGACAGCATCGAAAAGCCCCTCTACATGCGCACATGAAGTCTGGGTCGGATCAAACCATGCCGAAATGCAATGTCTGGACATGCCGGAGTTCACGCAATGCAACTGATCGAGTCATCGACAGGCATCCGATCCTCGCCAACAAAGGGCCCACTCATTGTCGACCTGGACAGCATTGGCGCCGTTGCTTCGCGTTGCATCTGCACGTGGTAATGTGCGTGCGGTCGGGCATGCAGACAATGGCCGTGAAGCAGGCAGACAAAGACAGGCGGACGGTTTGCGACCGACAAGCTCGGCACTGCAGGCGGGCGCTCAAACGTCGAATCATTGTTCATGAGTCGACACGAAGGGGTATCGATCGGTACGAAACCGAGAATGCAGCGGAGTTTTGCACTGAGTGGTCGTGAAAGCTGCGTTGTGGGTGAAGGATCAGAGACCATGGCCACCTCGGTCGAGAACAAGAGGGGACGTGCACAAGCGGGTCAAAGTTGCGCAAACAAAGGGATGGCGGCGCTAATGTGTTCCTGGTCTGAATCTGCAGTCCTGTACGGCGTCCCGACGGCCATGCATGGGAATGAGTTTGAGTCAGATCGGCTTCGGGAAAGGGTTGGTGCGTTATTAGCCTCTTTCGAGTTCACCGTGCCCGACCTGCGATTGGCGAAGGCGTGTGGGGTCTGATGATCGCTTCTCGCCTGGGTTGACTAGTGTCAAAGCCAAGACGAGCTACGAAGATTTCCGCCAAAGCAGCGCCTCGGGTGTGCGCGTGTGTGCTTGCGGACCATGGAAGCCGCTATTGCAACTCCGACTTGGCGTTCATGCACCCCGCTCCGCTAGCTTGGTTGAAATCCAAGCCGAGACCCATTGAATCCCTTGCCATCTTGAGCTTGCGTCCGCCCTCTGCTGGCCGCCGCTTGACGATGCGATTCCACTGCGTACAGTAGTGCGGGGTAGCTCGGCCTTTTCAGACGCTAGCTTGGGGAGCATCTTCCCATGTGAACTTTTGAAGCTCCTTTCACATCAACACGCTCCAGCATATACGATGGAGCCTTGAATCACACTCACAGCTGGGGATTGCAAGCCTCTGCTGCCTTGCAGGCTTATCCGACGGAGTTGTCGACCAAACTCGTTCATTGTCAACGATCTCCTTAGGCAACTCCGCCTCTTGAGTAAGTGTGCTCGATGACTTTTTGAGTGTCTAGATGCGGCTTGGAGCCTCACTGAGCCTTCGCAGTCAGGCGGAACCCCTCTTTGTTATCCTCTATCGGGCTCAGAGATGCTACGATCGTGCCGCCAGGTAGGGCGTTGAACGCAAAAGTGAACATGTTACACCGTCATAGCCGACAGCTCGAGCTTTAAAAAGCTGTGCATATGAGGCTGCCCTAACATTCTTCGAGAAATTCGACAGGCACGCAGCTCAGTCCCCTTTTCTCCGCGCTCGGGTGCGAAGGCCACGCACCTGAGTCGGCGGTTCGAACGTGCCGTTCCGCCACGCTGCCACTCGCGAGAGCCGAGGAGTGCACCGCCAAAATAAGAACGGAGGCCGCACCTCTTCCTGTGCCGCGACTGCGCATCGGCAGAACTTTGTGGCGTCCGCACTCGACTTGGCGGATGGCCTTCCTTTTTTTGAGTCTCTCCCGCCTGCGGACCGTGCCGAAAAAGTCAGCACACGGCGCGCACGTTCGCGCACATGCAGCCTTTCATTTCCACCCTGCACCCTCATCCGCACACTCTTTTGCTCAGCCTGACTGTTGTGCCCTGCTTGCTTGCTTGCTTGCTCAAGTCGCAGCGGACGATGCCTAGCGCGTAGCCAGAACAGCAGGATCTCCCTTTTCCGACTTCCGACGGCCCCTGGAAGAGACCCTGTTGCTGCGGCGACTCTTGCTTGACTTCTTATCCCTGTTTCTTTCCACATCACCTGTGTCGTACGGTCGCACGACATCCTCCCCATCCGCGCCGAAGGCGACCTAGCCACGATGAAGTTCGGCAAAACTTACATGGAGACCATGGCTGATCCCTCATTCCCTGCGGAATGGAGGAATGGCGCCCTGGAATACAAGTACCTCAAGAAGCTCATCAACGGCGTCGTCGCCGAGCTCGAGTCCATCGGTCTTGGCGCTGATGTCCTCCGCGAGCTCCTCATCCGGCCCGAAGATGATCCGGCCAGCTCGTCTGCATCTCCACACGAGGACAAGACACGACCGCTCGATTCGCCTGATGACGACCTCGACTCGGCCATCGCAGATGAGTCTGGCAATAGCTCCGAGCAGGAAGAAGACAGCCCAGCGCGACCAAAGAAGCTCACGCCAGCTGGAAAATGGATCAGTGACTTCTCCGTTGACATGATCCGAAGGGCCTCTTCTCCTGGCGACCCCTCAACCGCAGAGAACACAGCCATCGCCGACGCACAGTCTTCGACGCAGCATCCTCAGGCTTCCCAACGTTCGTCCTCCGCCACCAACCACCTCAGCGTGCCGAGCTCGTTCAAACCACGCAGATACAGCGACGGCGTGCATGAGATCACTGCATCTCTCGAAGACCACCACCTCGAGCCCAATGCGCGCGGTCGTGCTTCCTTCAACATGGGCTCCACGCCCGATCCGGAGAGAGGGGCCGGGATCGGTCGCAAGGATCTCGCCGCCATGCGAAAGAACCGACGCCCCTCGGATATCGACGCTCCCGATCATGCCGAGCCTAGATCGCACGAACCAAGCCCGGGACACCACGACTGGACCGCCAGCAAATGGCGTGAGGAGGCCAAGCTCGACTGGGATCCGAGCAGCAACTCTCTAAAGGCCGGTGCTACCAAGCTCTCTCCCCCACCTCGCGACCGCTCCGAGCGAAGCACCAGCCCGGCAAAGCACCGATGGGTCGAAGGCAAATCCGGCCGACGTGCTCGTGCCGAGTACGAGCTTGGAGGCACTCCCGAGCATCCGGAGCCTCGCATTCGTCTCTTCATCGAGTCGCCGCTGCCATCAGATGATGAGGAGGATGATGAACTTGCACATGCTGACTCGGGCAGCCTCTCGGACGACGCGAGCAGCCGAAAGAGCATCGAAGAGCAGATCATCGAGCTTCCCACCACACCAAGCAGGCGCTTCTCCACCATTCCCGAGGACGGACCCGAGGGCGAGACCAAGGAGCAGAAGGTCAAGCGACAGACCGAGATCCGCCGGAAGCGCGGCACGCGTTCGCGCGAAATCGTCATCCCGCTCACCGCCGACACGCAGTTCCTCGACACGCTCACCCATGCGCTCCAGAACCTGTCCAACATCCAGACGCACCAGCACGACAACTTTGTGCTCGAGACCGAGTCGCTCTGCTCTGCAGTCGCACGCGCATCCAGCCCGTACGCCTCCAAGAACGACCTCTACGTGTGGAGGGAGATCTTTGGACTCTGGGTCGAGATGCAGGTGTTTGAGAGTCAGCGCGAGAAGGATCGCGGCGAGCTCAGCATCGACGAGAGCGAGGCTAGGCTCAAACGCTTTGCGCTCGAGCTGGCCAAGCGCGGTTGGATTCACGATCCCAATGCGCCCACTCCCAGCAAAAAGGGCAAGTTGGTCAAGCTCAAGATCGGATCCGGTCCCAGCAGCCAAGGGCTTCAGAACCAGACGAGTGCCACTGCGATCGAAGACTTCCTCAGGCTCAACTTTGCGCTCTTGGATGTAAAGAAGTTCCAGCGCGTCAACGTAGAGGCCGCAAGGAAAATCCTCAAGAAGCACGACAAGCGCACTGCGCTCACGGCGAGCAACGACCTGAGGACGTTCATGGCCCAGCAGGAGGCAGCAAGGCGTGCGGCGGGCATCCACCCGGTTGGCTCGGGTGGAGTTATCAATCTGCCAGCTTCGGCATTCCAGCCCCCCGAGCCGTCGGCTGGTATGTCGAATGCGCTCATCTCGTCCGCGGCGCACCCATCGCTCGCTGCGTTACTGCCATCAGCGACCACAGGTATCCTGTCCGAGTCGCTGCCACACATCCTGCTGTCGCTCGTCACCACAACGCTGCTTCCGATCCTGCCGTCGGTCGACGACTACAGCTGCGCGATCTGCACCTCGGTGGCATGGAGGCCTGTGCGTCTCGATTGCTCGCACCTCTTCTGCCTCAGGTGTTTGGTGAAGCTCCAGAGGCAGGGCAAGGACGACTGCCCGCTGTGCAGGGCTCCCGGTGCCGTCAAGTCTGCCGACCGCCACAATATGAACGAAGAGACCGACAGGTATCTCCAGACTTGGTTCCCGCGCGAGGTCAGGGAAAAGACAAAGGAGAACGAAAAGGACCGTCGCCAGGAAGACCTCGAGGCGCTCGGACTGCGCGAGGAAAAGTGTGTCATCCAGTAGCCTGCCCACGATCCACTTTCATACCCCTGCGCCAGCCATTCCACCCTACCTACACACTGTCACATTGTACACCATACCCTCACTCGTGCTTCTGTCATAGCAATGGTCCGGCTGGAGCTTTGTCTAGCCGTAGCAAACATGAATCGTTTGCGCTTGTGGTCTCGAAAGCTGAAGATCTGTCTGTCACGAACAAATTAGCTACAGGGTATATAGACACCTGCTGCACCTTGGCTGTTATCTGCGGCCATAGAACCTTGAAAGCAC